GGGTTGAGTGATGTTGGAGTGCCGGACACATAGACGCGTTGAGTGAGGATAGCCACATACCTGAACCTCACAGTTATTTGTATTGGAGATTGCGAGACACCTAGACGTGTTGAGTGAGGATAGCTGCATACTGAAACCTCACAGATGCATTGGTTTTTGCCAGACACATAGACGCGCTGAGTGGGGATAGCTGCATATTGAAACCTCACAGATGGATTGGTTTTTGAGTTTGCCAGACACATAGACGCGTTGAGTGGGGATAGCTACATACTGAAACCTCACGAGTTGAGTGATGTTGGATAGTGCCGGACACATAGACGCTTTGAGTGAGGAAAGACACATACTGAAACCTCACAGGTGATTTGTATTGGAGATTGCCGGACACATAGACGTGTTGAGTGAGGATAGCTGCATACTGAAACCTCACAGATGGATTGGTTTTTGAGTTTGCCAGACACATAGACGCGCTGAGTGGGGATAGCTACATACTGAAACCTCACAAGTTGAGTGATGTTGGATAGTGCCGGACACATAGACGCTTTGAGTGAGGAAAGACACATACTGGAACCTCACAGGTGATTTGTATTGGAGATTGCCGGACACCCAGACGCGTTGAGTAAAGATACCTGCATACTGACACCTCAAAGATGGATTGGTTGTTGAGTTTGCCAGACACAGTCTAGACGCGCTGCGTGGGGATAGCTACATGCTGAAACCTCACGAGTTGAGTGATGTTGGATAGTGCCGGACACATAGACGCTTTGAGTGAGGAAAGACACATACTGGAACCTCACAGGTGATTTGTATTGGAGATTGCCGGACACCCAGACGCGTTGAGTGAAGATACCTGCATCATACTGAAACCTCACAGATGGATAGGTTTTTGAGTTTGCCAGACACATTGACGCGCTGCGTGGGGATAGCTACATACTGAAACCTCACGAGTTGAGTGATGTTGGATAGTGCCAGACACATAGACGCTTTGAGTGAGGATAGCTGCATACTGAGACCCAGCGGGTTGAGTGAGGTTTGCGACTGCCGGACACATAGACGCGTTGAGTGAGGATAGCCACATACGGAACCTCACAGGTGGTTTGTGATGGAGATTGCCAGACACATAGACGTGTTGAGTGAGGATAGCTGCATACTGAAATCTCACAGATGCATTGGTTTTTGAGGTTGCCAGACACATAGACGCGTTGAGTGAAGATAGCTGCATACTGAAACCTCACAGATGCATTGGATGTTGAGTTTGCCAGACACAGACGCGCTGAGTGGGGATAGCTACATACTGAAACCTCACGAGTTGAGTCATGTTGGATAGTGCCGGACACATAGACGCTTTGAGTGAGGATAGATACATACTGAACCTCACAGGTGATTTGCATTGGAGATTTCCAGGACACATAGACGCATTGAGTGAAGAAAGCTACATACTGAAACCTCACAGATGGATTGGTTTTTGAGTTTGCCAGACACATAGACGCGCTGAGTGGGGATAGCTGCATATTGAAACCTCACAGATGGATTGGTTTTTGAGTTTGCCAGACACATAGACGCGCTGAGTGGGGATAGCTACATACTGAAACCTCACGAGTTGAGTGATGTTGGATAGTGCCGGACACATAGACGCTTTGAGTGAGGAAAGACACATACTGAAACCTCACAGGTGATTTGTATTGGAGATTGCCGGACACATAGACGCGTTGAGTGAAGATAGCTGCATACTGAAACCTCACAGATGCATTGGATGTTGAGTTTGCCAGACACAGACGCGCTGAGTGGGGATAGCTACATACTGAAACCTCACAGATGCATTGGTTTTTGAGGTTGCCAGACACATAGACGCGTTGAGTGAGGATAGCTGCGTACTGAAACCTCACAGATGCATTGGTTTTTGAGGTTGCCAGACACATAGACGCGTTGAGTGAGGATAGCTGCGTACTGAAACCTCACAGATGCATTGGTTTTTGAGGTTGCCAGACACATAGACGCGTTGAGTGAGGATAGCTGCGTACTGAAACCTCACAGATGCATTGGTTTTTGAGTTGCCAGACACAAAGACGCGTTGAGTGGGGATAGCTGCATACTGTGGATTGGTTTTTGAGTTTGTCAGACACATAGGCGCGCTGAGTGGGGATAGCTACATACTGAAACCTCACAGATGGATAGGTTTTTGAGTTTGCCAGACACATAGACGCGTTGAGTAGGGATAGACACATACGGAACCTCACAGGTGATTTGTGATGGAGATTGCCGGACACATAGAAGTGTTGAGTGAGGATAGCTGCGTACTGAAACCTCACAGATGCATTGGTTTTTGAGTTGCCAGACACAAAGACGCGTTGAGTGGGGATAGCTGCATACTGTGGATTGGTTTTTGAGTTTGTCAGACACATAGGCGCGCTGAGTGGGGATAGCTACATACTGAAACCTCACGAGTTGAGTCATGTTGGATAGTGCCGGACAAATAGACGCTTTGAGTGAGGATAGTTGCACAATATGACCTAACAGGTTGAGTGAGGTTTGCGACTGCCGGACACATGGACGCATTGAGTGAAGAAAGCTGCACACTGAAACCTCACGGGTTGATTTGTATTGGAGATTGCCGGACACATAGACGCGTTGAGTAAGGATAGCTGTATACTGAAAATCCACAGTAGCTATAGTGAGGGGACAATTCGAGAATGCAGTACACATGGACCCGACCCCAACCCAGTACCCGAACCCCCCTGAAAAATAGAGGCCATGCGTCCCCCCCCCCTGGTACGGCATCTAAATAAATACCTAAGTCCCCCATTGGGCGGTGGAGAACTTAGAGCTAAGACACCCAAAAAATCTCCGGCGTGAGATCCAAAATGGATCGGACGGTG